GAAATTTTTCAAAATTTTTCCATCTTGATTTTTTCTCGCTTAGCCATTTTTTCACATTTTATGACTATTCCCATGATTTGAACATTACTGCCCGCTGTGGCGTATAATTAATATTACATCTAGGAAATGTGTAAATATTTATCATACGCCCAAATGGTTCAGCTAAGATTTCTCATTTTTTTGGAGAATTTTTTTTTTTTTTGTAAATTCATGGTAGTGTTGTAATGGAAATCCAATCACACGAATTATACGAACCATAGAAGAGTAACTTGAACCTGGTGAAACTTTTTATACCCTCCACCATGCAACTTTTAAGGTCATAGCACAAGGAACTCGCCAGGGGTTATCATGTCATGCGTCATCGATAAAACACCAACTACAACGAGTATTTCATAGCCGATTCCCCCATGATCGTTTATTCTGCTATTGAATTAAGATTTAAACAATCAACGGATTGTTCTTGTACTATGGCAAATAGACTCATACCACTTGGACGTCATAAACTTCTGACCCATAAAACAGTTCGCAGTCGTTAGGGACAAAGTACATGACATCTAGAGAAGGAGGGAACAAGGAAGTATTATCCATTACGAACTTCAAATTTAAAACAATTCCGGTGAATAATGTCGGTTAAATCACCAAAATACACAAAAAAAGGGAGGTACCATTAAATGGGGGCTATACCAAAACCTGGATCTACATGACCCATTTTCAATACCAAAAGTTCTGCAGTCATACACATTTGAGTACAATTTTATCAACCTTCTTAATTTTGTTCGGAAGCTGAAGTGATTTCCACAGACGGATAAACGGGCAGACGGACGGACATCGCTAAATCGACATAGAATTTTATGCTGATGAAGAATAAAGTATATATGTATACTTGTGGGGTCAAAATGTATATTTCTAGGTGTTACAAACCGAATGACAAACTTAATATACCCTCCATACTATAGCGGAGGGTATAATATTTTAAATGATTACAGAAAATCTGTTATAAAGTATCAGTGGGTTTATTTTGAGTATATTTTTACGTGCGTTAGAATAGTTCAAAATTTTGTAGAAATCATCTAATATTGATAAAAAAAATATTTGGGTGTGCAAAGCTAAAAGAAAAACGAGCATTTTTTCCCGAGCAAATTGAGAGAAATATTTATATGCACCAGATTTGAAATTAATCGCTGACTTATTTCACATGCTGTGAGAGATGTAATTATTCAAAATTGTGACTCTTTGTAAGGCAGATTCTTATTTTCACTTCAGATCTTGTGTTCGTACAAATATTGGAATGTGTGTAGTTTAGAAATTATCGGATTCTTATTAGGCATTTTATGAGCGTTTTGTCATTCATTGACCCCTTGGTGGGGAATAAACCTATATTTACCATCTTCACAACAGATCTGGTGTTAGTAAAAATATTGGGATGTGTGAAATTTGAACTGAATCGGATGCTTATTTCGTGTTTAATATGTAGCTAAATTCTTAATCAAAATTTTGACCCATTGTGGGGGAGCTACCAGAAGTTGTGGTCTGTTCTACCCGTTCTTCATACCAGTTTTTTTGGTAAAACTATTAAGATGTGCCAAATTGGAAGATAATCCTACTTTTATTTCACATTTTACAAGAGTTGTAATTATTTTAAATTTTAACCCTTGGTGGGGCAGGTACCAGATGGACTGATCTTCCCACCAGATCTTGTGTTGATAAAAATATTGGCATGTGTCAAAGTTTGAAAGTAATCGGAAGCTCAAATGGCATTTATAAGCTTATTGGTTCTTTTAAATGATGATCCATTGTGGGGGAGGTACCAGAAGGAGTGATTCGTTTTGTCTGCTCCTTATACCAGATCTTGGGTAGGATGTGCGAAATTTTAGGACAATCGGACTCTTATTTCACATTCGATAAGAGTTGTGATTATTCAAAATGTTGATTCTTTGTGGGGGAGGTATGTTATGGAGGGGACCGATATTGTCCATTTTTGTATCTGACCTAGCACTAACGCAAATATTAAGATTTGCAAAGTTGGAGCAAAATTTTATGATCCCTTCTCCTTCTAAGAAAATTTTGATCTTTTGTCGGGGAGGTAGCAGAAGGAGTTACCTATCTCCGAACTCGATCTAAGTTTGATAATAATATTACGATGTAACAAGTTTGGATCGTATCGGATACTCCCTTTGAGAGTTATCGTGTGCATCAGCCAGTCAGACAGACAGGCGGACAAACGGACATCGCCAGATCGACACAAAATGTCCTGATGCGGATTTGGTTGCAAGAGACCCAGGGTAAAAACCCGTTATTTTGATGAGGCACATTTTGGAAGTAGCAAATCATATACCCTCTCTATATGATAGACCTGTGGGTATAAAAAAATGAAGATAAAATCGGTGGTCTTAGTGAGCCAAAATTTGGAATTTAAGGAAAAATTTTAGGAATCTCGTGAAAATGATGGAGTAATGAACATTTCCGAAATAATAAAAAAATATCTGTCACGTGACGTTTCGTTTAAATTTTCAAATATTTTGACCTAATTTTTGTGGATCTCCTAGTTTTAATATTATAACTATCGAATTCCACACAGATGCAAGAAATAGGTGACGACAAAAAAATTAGCATTTTGTCCAGAAATTCTGAATTCTGAACCAGGGTGTGTTGGTTTTAGTATCACGAATTTAGATCGATGATAATTTCAACGGCCAAGCATAGAACACTCGAAGACGAAAATTAATGCGTGGTAAGGACTATTTTTTTTTTTTTTTTGCTGATGGTGTCTGGAAATTATTTTTGGATCTGATGAAGGATCAGCGCATAAATATGACCTCTATATAACTATACATATTTAAGCCATGATTTAGAAAATTGGGTTCTCCAATATTTTTTACTCTATAGCTAGATTATTCCTTTTGAACAGTTGTTAGTAGTTTAAGCCCGTAAAAAATACAATGGTGGTGTTTCGAGTTCTCGGACGGCAAAAAATCGACCCTGCAGATAAGGTTCAATATTTTTTGAAATTTAATACTGCGTATTTTCAATTAAAGTTTGATCTACAAAAATTAGATAGCAACAATTTGTAGGTCTACGTTTTTATGTTTCAGTAGCATTTCGGAATTTTAAAGATCCTGGTCACATTTTAGAGTCTAATAGGTTCTAATAGGTTTCAGTAAGTTTTTATGGCGATACAATTAGAATACGAATGAAATTAAATTTTCAATATTTTTGTTAAACTCAAAAATGTTAAAAAAAATATTTGGACCTGTTTTTTATGCCCTTCAACCCATTTTGTTGGGGTTATTGGGCCAAAAATTATGTAACACCTCGAAATATTGGTCTAAGACATATTGATGTTCGTATCTCGCCGAGCTGAGTCGATCTAGCTATGTATGTCCATCCGTCCGTCTATCCATGTAATCACGATACAGGTCGCAATTATGGACCGATCCTTACGAAGTTGAGCATGGAGGTGGGGTAAGGGTAAGAATAGAAACCTATTATTGGGGGGAGATGATCGCATCATATTTTGGGGATTTAAATGGATCAACACCAAGAAAGTATCCTGATTTTGCAGTCGCTCTACAGGCCACCGTTATAGGCCACAATCGATGGAATTTTGCCTAGTATTAGATTTTATGGCTGGACAGAAGCCTACAAATTTGGAAGATCATCGGACAATATTTAGCGGATAAAATAGACCAAAATTGTTACCCAGAAAAGAAGCAATAAAAGAAATTGATGTTAATTATTCCGCTCATAAGTCAAGAACCACTTGACTGATTTTGACAATTCTCACCAATTCGGAATGGTCTCTTACCAGAAAAGGATAAAATCTAAGAAAATCGCATAAAAATATTCCAATAAAAAAGAGAATATTTTTTTTATTTTTTGTAACATTTTTAATCGCATGAGATTTTTTCAATTTGACTAAAAATATTGAAATTTAGGGTCATAATTGAACCCTTTTTTAGATATATTTTTTTAGGTGTTAAAATATTAAAAAAAATCCGATTTTGTCGCCGATTTTGTGCATGAGGTTTGAGTTTTGGGACAGCCCAGAAGTATAGAATTTTGACCACTTTTGTGTGAAATTATTTTGAATACCTATCAGGATAACGGAGAGCGTAAAAAGGGCAAATACACCCGGTCAAAACCAAATTTCAAAAACAAAATCTATTTAAATGGAATTAGATCTAAGGGGGCTTCTTACATATTATAGTGTTGTAGGGTATCACATGGTCGGCCCACTTGTTTTATCCAGTTTTCGCTTTTTTATCGTCATACAGAAAAAGGACCTTTATGCTTTGACAACTTTGTGAACAGGGAACATCCTGGTAAAGAATAACGAAATTATTTGGATAACAATTTGATATTTTGCTGGAATTTTGAGAACAACCCTTAGACCCATAATTTTCAATTTTAAGGACATGTTGAAGGTCTAATCGAACACAATTAAGTTTTTTTTTTTTCAAAAATCTCCAATATCCCTGCCACAGGATTTCGGCTTAAAATTTAGTTTACGTTTTTTATTATGTCATAAGAAGAGCCACTTCCTTTTTAATTTCTTCAAAAGTGCTCAAGGACACATATTCTCAACGTATCACTTATTAATTTTCCAAAAGGACATTCGCTTGATACCGTCGGATATAACATACAAAAAGCGAAGGGAATTATGTCCTGCCTCAAAAGCGGTTAATTTTTTCAAATGTTCCCAAGGACATATATTCTCATAATATCACTTATTAATTTTCAAAAAGGACATCCACTTCATACCGTCGTGTATAACATACAAAAGCTAGGGGAATTATGTCCTGCTTCAAATGCGAACATAACTTCCAAAATGTTTTTTCTTTCTCTTCCAAACATGTTTGCCTTTCAAGGTTTTTTTTTTCAAGTATATCCTGGCATGTCCTTTTTGGTATTGTGTTGATAAATATTTTTCCACAAAATCTTATAATAATTTATATCTAAATTACTTAATAATATTTAAATGTTTATTGTTTCCCACTCACCGTTATCCTTTTCTTTGAAGTTAAATTGGCTGCAGGACTAAATATTGAAAAAAAAAAAACACTTTTTCTTTAAACGAGTCACCTTTGGATTTAAATTGTGGTTCCTTTATTTTTCTTTTTTTTTATTTCACAAAAATCAAATAGAAAAAAAATATTTTTAAAGACCGACGCACCAGATATCACATTGCTGGGAGGGCAGCCTTAAGTGACAGCGATAATGTTGCGGATTGTTCTCTGTGATACTCGAGCGTAAAAATATAGTCGTTGTTGTGTTGTCGTCTAAAATGTCAAATGTTCTTTAGATTGTTTTGTTATTGTTTTCACTAGCACACATTTCCACCTTTGCCACACAGCCAGGCAGCCAGCCAACCTAGGTGTGTGTGTTTGTACGTCTATGTTTCTTTGAGACAATAGGCCTGCCAAGTGCATGCCCATGTGTGTGTTTGTCTGTTTGTTTTGTAAGTCTATCATAATTTGCACAGACAGGCGACAGACATGTCTACTAGATCAACTTCAAATATTATACCCACAGCAATTACGTAGAGCAGGAGGTCATTGAGTGTGAAAGAGCGAGAGAGAGAGAGCGAGAGTGCAATAGAGCTTGAGAGTCAGTGGAGGGATATTTGTTTGTTTGTGTTTTTGTTTTTTTTTTTTGGTGAGTGCATTTTTCTATGGTTTCCCAAGAATATTTCAAGGTGTTACATGTGTAAGCACAAACTTAAAACACCACCCAATTGTCCGGAACACTGCCCGTTCACTTTATGGCTACTCCCTTCTTCGCTCACAAAGATTCAAACAAAACAAAAAATGGCATCAGCAACACCAAAAAAAAAGGGGGGGCTCCAATCATTCATCATCGTTGGTGTATCATCCTGTGGTGCAACAGTAAAGCCAACGAAGAGGAAGTTAATGGCGCGGCATGGACACACCAACGTTTGGAAAGAAAGAATGAAAGAGTCAATTGGTTGTTTGTTATTGTTGCCGAATGTTGCCCAGCAATGTGGCGTCTCATCATCAACGCCATCATTACACCCATGGCTCACAAGAAGAAGTTAAAGAAGAAAGGGAAAGGGGGAGAGAGGAAGAGAGAGAGCGGGGGAGAGAGGGAATTTGTTTTAAAATGCAAATATTTTTGAGAAACTAAACCAAAAACAACAATAACACCACCAATGACCCCAGCAACAGCAACAATCTTCATCTTCATTAACATCGTCATCGCCATCATCACCGCTCTCTGTGTGTCAGCAGCAGCAACAATAACATCAGCATGATGCATCTGTTTATACTTGGGTTTTGCTTTGGCTTGTCATCATTGTTGTTGTTGTTGTTGTTTGTCTCATTTTAAAGAAGAAATAAGAATTTTCTTGTAAAAATACAAACATGTCGATGCAGAAATGCAGCGAGCCAGCCAGCCTGCCTGCCTGCCAACAACAACAGCAACAATCGAACACCAGCGCCAACTTCACAACAACAACAACATCAACAAAATCACAAAAAAAAAGAAAGAAAGAAATAGATTTCAATTAAACATGCAATTTTTAAATGACACGCAACGGGCACGCCACCAACACACGAGCGTGGGCTGGGTGGGAAGTTATTTTTTGGAAATTTTTTAAATAAATTAAGTTCGTAAGTTCGTAAATTAATTTTGGGAAAAAAATCATGACAACAAATTTGATATTTTCCAAGTTAAATGTTTAGAAAATGTTTTAAAATTTGCAAATTTGGAGAAAGCTTGGGCCGCGGGCTTGAAGAGGCCGTAGGTTCACCACATAAAAGTGATGCGGCTATCAATGAATCGTAGTTGAATGATGGCTTCTTAATACAGACCACAAAGCATGCCAATATTTTAGAAGTAAAAACAAATTACAATGCAGTAAGTTCGGCCGGGTCGAACTTTGAATACACTCCACCATTATGAATGAATTTGGAAATTTTCAAAAAAAAAAATCCCTTTAAAAGTTCTGTTAAAATCTTAAAAATACGAAATATAGCCGTGAACCTACATAAGCCTTGTTTGTCATAAGCCATTGCCATATTCAAATGCCAAACTTGAAATAAACGGTGAATAAAAATTAGCTAAAATCATCAAAATATCCTATATAGGGAGGTACCGTTATATCGGAGCTATACGAAGAGCTGGACCAGCATAGACAATTTTCTGTTAAAGACTGTAGCATCCATTATGCATTTTAAATACGGCATCTCAAACAATTTCGGTGAGTATTGTACCTAAAATCGTCAAAATATCGAATATAGGGAGGCACTGGTATATGGGCTCATACGAAGACCTGGACCTGCATACACAATTTTCTGTCACAGAATGTAGTTCCCATTACGAACTCTAAATACCCAATTTGAAACTACTCCGGTGAATAATGAAGCTAAAATCATCAAAATACCGAATTTTAGGAGGTACCGTTATATGGTGGCTAATGAAGGCGGGGACTTGCACAGACAATTTTCTATCATAGGCTGTAGTACCCATTACGAACTTCAAATACCAAGTTTGAAACAATTCTATCTCAATTCAGCGTGATAACAACAGACAGACGGACAGACGAACATCGTTAAATCGACTTAGAATTTTACGCTGATCAAGAATATATGTACTATGTTGGGTCTGACATGAATATTTCGAGGAGTTACAAACGGAATGGCAAAGTTAATATACCCTCCATAGTATGGTGGGGGGTATAACTAGTAAAACGACTACTACGACCAGCTACCAAATTGACTTATAATTGAACTCGCAATCCTCGAAATTTCTAAAACTTGGGAGTCCAGCTATACTGGATCTAGGTATCGATAGGTATCTACATACAAAGGAGTAGTAAAATAACTGACTGACTGAGAATCAAAGCCCAGACGAAACGGCTGAAGCTTAAATCTTGATATTTAGCGCAAAGGTCAGTCTTGGTGCGTAAGTTGGGTTTTGGGAAAGGAGGGTACGAAAAATACTCAAATGCACAATTTAATACTTTGGACAAACAGAATGAGCTAGAGTTCTGACATTTGGGATGAGAGTAACTGATAGAGTCCAGGATAGACGTACAAAAGGGTATTTGGAAATTTTAGGATGTTTGGAAATTTTAGGTTACGAGAAGTTCTAAAGTGGTACTAAACTTCAAAAATGGTACCATTTGTTGGAAAGTAAGTTTGGTACAAAAGGTTGTGGAAATGTGTTCTAAGTGTGTGTGTGTGTGTGTGTGTGTGTGTGTGAAGGAATAGGGCTGGAATCGACAAATCTGATATTTAGGTCTCTGTTGGTGTCTGGAATTGAAATGTGGAGGTGGTTTTACAAATGCGTATCATAATTGTTCGAAATGTACTAAATGATACTAATTTTGGATCACTGTTTTGTATATAGGATGGAGGGACGAAGATTGTTTTGGATATACGTACTTAATGTTATCAATTTCGGTATTGGATGTAGGGACAGAGCTACAATTCTGATGTTTAATTTTGAGGTTACTCTTGGTTTTTAGGGCTGATGCACACGATAATTCTCTAAGGTAGCATCCGATTTTGTCCAGCCTTGGTAAATCGTAATATTACTATCAAACTTAGATCGAGTTCGGGGGTCGGCAGTATCGGTCCACTACTTCTGATGCCTCTCCCACAAAGGAGTTAAAGTTTTGAATAACCGAAACGATCATAAAATCCGAAATAAGCAACCAGTTTTCTTCATATTTCACATATCCCGTCATTTCTAGTAACACAAGATTTGCTGTGGAATATATCGGTCCCTTCCTTCTGGTACTTGCCCCAAAAAGGGTAAAAATTCTGAAAACCCATGAAGTTCAGAAAATGCGAAATAAACATCCAAATTTCATTCAAATTTGTTACATCTCAGTATTTCTATCAACACAAGATCTGTTATATATGATTATATGATGGTAGAAATCGCACCAATCCTTCTGGTACGTCCCCCACAAAGGGTCAAAGTTTTGAATAACCAAATCGATTATAAAATCCGAAATAAGCATCCGGTTCTCTTTAAATGTCACATATCCCATTATTTCTTCTAACGCTAGATATTGTGCGAAAATAGATTGTATCAGTCCACTCCTTCTGGTACCTCTCCCACAAAGGGATACAATTTTTTAATATCCATGAAGTTCATAAAACGCGAAATTAAAATCCGACTCCATTCACACTTGGTACACCTCAATATTTCCATCAACACAGGATGTGTTGTAAAGATGGTAGAGATCGGACCATTCCTTCAGATACATCCGCCACAAAGAATTCATCATTTTGAAAAACAAAACGCCCAAAGAAAGCGGAATAAGCATCCAACTCTCTTTAAATTTTGACACATCCAAATATTTTTGCTAAGGCAGGATCTGTTGTGAAGATCTGCCCGGTTGAGGATTTAAGCATAGATGGGCAAGTATGCACGCTGACGTGGATGTCTCTTATTCTCCGTCATGAGTAAACATACTGATTTAGACGAATAATTATCGGCAGTATTTTTATTTTTTTAATGATTTTTGACCTTATTTGATTATGTTTTTGTTTAAAAAATTATTAAATCAGTAAAAAATTCAACGCAACAAAGCTATTTTAAACATTTCTTTTTCATTTATTTTGCTCATTTATGATTTAAGCAAGACCGGGCAGGGAGTTGCATTTCTTCTCTCAATGTTCGTGCTCTCTGATTACATTATTTTTTTAACGGCTCTGATATCATAGACATAGACTAAAAAGTTGTCTCATCTGTTATCTCTGAAAAATGTGCTTTAATAGATGTCGTTCATGCTGTGAGAGAGGTTCAGTAGACTCACTCAATTCTCTCAAAATACAAAATATTGAATATTTTTATGATTCTTTATTATTTATCAATTAAACACGAAACAGTGATTTTGTTTACTTTTACATTATCCAAATATATCGAGAAATATAAAAATATAGAACTTAAATAGCATAAAAATTAATAAATTGTTTTCGAAGTCGAGTGACTTCACTAGCCCTGAGTGACTTGACTGGCCCAAGATCAACAATAGTTACATTTGCCGGAAGGGGACATTTTAAAG